GCTTTATCCTGAAAGCATTCCATTTGAACACTTATTTCTTAGTGATTTCTTCTAGAGTGTTTCATGGAGAATGGAACCCCTAGAAGCATAAGAGAACAAAATGTCGATACAAACTCTGTCTGATGTAACCAAAGGAAAAAAAAAATCTTGACTAAGGGGCCACACACTAGTATTCCAAAATAGTATAAAAATAGGCAGTTATTTTTGTGATCTTTCACAAGATCCAAAACGCACAATGGAAAATCAGACAAACCAAAGATATGACACACTGACCATAATGTATGAAAATGTTCTTCTAACAAAGAGTGCATCATAAACAAGGGAGACAAAACACAGGGATGGGTGCTCTTCATAGCTGGCACAGGATGGCGGGCTTCCAAGTGTTAAGACCTGTCTCCACCACTGCTATTCACATACAGAATATGCTCAGAGGAAAAAGGAACACAATAGTTAGGGTGTTCAATGTGAAAGAATCGGTGGATAGTCCTGGGATTTCCGAAACTGATTATTTTGAGCTATTCCCTGCCATTCCCTGATGATTTGCATTACCAAGGCATGGAGAAAACCCTTAAATCCCCTTTCTTTATTGTGATCTTCACAGCAAGACAAACAGTTTCTATTGTTCAAGCACATCCTCCTCTCTACTACTTGTCATCACTTAGGGTTCTCTGTCTTTATATTGCTGAGGTAACATAACCCTGAAGACTGGTTCCATGCTACTGCTTTTTATAAGGTGTCATGAAGAGCTGCCTCTCCATCCCTCACCAATGAAACAATCATATTTAGTAACATGCTTTTGCAATGTGCTTCAAGTGGTAAAGAGACAAGGAAGGAAATATGAAATTACATAGTGACAGAGACACAGACAAACAGAAAGCAGGAATTAGGAAATATCCAAGTGTGGTGTTCCTGGGTGGGCAGGTAAATAATCTGAGACCACTTATGTGTATGAAAATCAATCCCATGAATCTTCTCTCAGATAAAAAATTAAAATCACATGCTCTAAATGTTTGTGAGTAGTATCCCCACAAGTTGGATTTTCTAGGTGAGTAATAAAAAATTAATTTAAATGACAACAGAAAGGCTTTTAAATAGTTTTTTTTTTTTTTTTTTTTTTTTTTTTTTTTTTTTTTTTTTTTTTTTTNTTTTGAGACAGGGTTTCTCTGTGGTTTTGGAGCCTGTCCTGGAACTAGCTCTTGTAGACCAGGCTGGTCTCAAACTCACAGAGATTTGCTTGTCTCTGCCTCCCAAGTGCTGGGATTAAAGGCGTGTGCCACCACCGTCTGGCCTTTTATCCTGATTTCACATCAAGAAGAGGCTGAAGTGCATCTTATGACTAAATTCCATCTAAACACTCTGCTGGAATTTTCAGGGATATGCACTGAGGATGTGGTATCCTCTGTTCTATGCACAGCATGAATGTGGAGTCACTTAATGTTCTCATTCAAGGTCTGCACAGTGTGAATCATACAATTCCCTATTTGTATGCAAGTGGGAATCCAGTGTCAGAAAAATGTTACTCATTTTTTTGTCTCCTGGTCATCTATGAAACTCAAGGGCAATTCTCAGAAACCAGAGGGAAAACTGTAAACCTTGCCCTGTGCTTCCCTTTATCCTCTCAGGAACCTCCCTCAATGCACAGCAGCCCTCCTACTCAGAATAAATCCTAGGCCTAGCTGACAGGCCCCATCTCCTTCTCACTAGAGTTTCCAGTAGGTGCTGCTTTTCTGCCTGGAGACCTCACCAAACTGTAAGTGTTTCAGGGTTCCAGGAATGAAACTTGGGCATATCATCTGTGGGATATATAAATCATGAAGATTTTACTTATTCCCAGGTGTTCTGTCCCAGGGACAGCTGAAAGAATACGCCCCTGGTCTAGTACAGCCCTCACAGACCCCGTCACTCATCTGAACTGTCTGTGGATTCTCATTATCCAATCATGGTGTAAGCTGGATCTGCCAACCTCCAGGAAAGTGTCTGAAGTGGACATGAAGAATATGGAGTGGTGGAAGCACAAACTATGATTCAGCTCTCAAATCCCAAGACAACATCAGCAGGGACACTTGCTTTTTCACAAATTCTAGTTGTCCTTAGTGGTAAAAATCCTGAATCAGATATCAGGGGCAAAACTGAAGGATCAGAAAAGAAGAATATTCAGTCTTATCTCTAACAATGCCCAAAACAAATGGGGAAGATCCTATCTCTACAAATCCTCTGAATGAATGCTGTCTCTCCAAAATCTCAGACTTCCTCTCAGACTGAATCCTCAGAATGCATCTGAGTTCTTGTCTCCTCCTGTCTTATATTCCTCTGTCTGCCCATTCAAGTCACTCATGTGTCTGTTTCTCTGGTGCTGAGATTAAAAACATATAATCCTAGGTGATGGGATCATCTTTGTATGAGCTCTGTTTCTAATTTACACAAATTCAGTCTCTTGTAGCCCATGGTAGGTTTGCACTCAGAGAGATCTGTCCATCTCTATCTTCCTAGTGCTGGGATTAAAGTTTTGTGTCACCACTGACTGGCTTCTATGGCTAACTAGTGGCTTAGTTCTACACTCTGAACATCAGGAAACTTTATTTGTCAGATCACAAACAAAATATCACTACACCTCCATAGCGATGATTTCATAAACCCAAAAAATCTTCAACCTTCGGACACAGCCATGCATTACTGTGCCAGATACACAGTGAGAGAACTCCAGTGTGAGCTTGGACAGATACCTATATACTCAGACCAGCAGGGGATGTGGAGGACCAATATGTACTCCGAGAAACAGTGGTCATCTGGGATATGCTACCTCTGCAACTGTTTGATGTCATAACTTTTGTTTTATTTATTTTATTCAAGAAAATCTTCTAAAGTACCCTTTACTTGTGATAGCCTATTAATCTTGTTTTTTCATTACACATTAAACATCTGTGTTCCCCCACAATCCTCTATATGAGAGAGGAGTCTGAAATTATGAAACTTTTTAAGACAGCTTTGTAAGAATTTTGAATAATCTATAATTCATCCTCTTTATTTTTAAACTTGTGATAAAGAAAGCACAACTTCCTTGAACTGATGTTACTTTTCAAAGTTAGCTTATAAAATGAACCATCCACAGTTTCCTACTTCTAAAATAATAGGACATTGATAAAAGAGTACTGTTTTTATAACTATTGCACGATTATATTTTTGAACATTTGCATTTTGGTTAAAAGTTTGCTTGCACATTGAAGTCCAAGCTAATGATTCCTTTACAGGAATATTGTGCAACTCAGACCACAAAATTCTCAGCCACAGATATTCACATCCTTGCAGACATCAGCTGTGGTCCTTGGTCCATAACTCCAGCCCTTCCTACAGCAGCTGAGTTTTCTGATTTTCACATTTTGTGTTTTTGTGAGTGCTTTTATTGCTCCCATAATTATTCCTCTGAAGTCTCTGTTGTTGGTTTGTGTTTGGTGTTCTGACTTCTGTTTTGTAGACTTGGAACTAGAATGGAAGTAAAGACAGGAAAAGACATCTGAAGTGAAGTACAAAATGGAGGAAGCACAGGGTAATACGAAGGTTTTGAAAGGAAAAGTTGGGTGTAGTGAGAGAAAGGGGCTGAAGAGAGTAGAAAGCAAGAGAATTTGTGAAAATAAAAACAAAGTCTTGTTAAAAAAACAAAATTGATGCAAAAGTTTTGTTTTATTACAAAATTGCATTAAATGTCCCCATTATGCTGACTATATACATATGCAGAAATAAAAACTTACCTAGGAGCATGAAGACAGCCTTCTGTTGCCTGCTTTTGAGGCGGGAAAGGGAAAGTAAGAGTGGGGAATAAAAAGTATTTATAGGGAGAAATTCAGAATGCAAGCAATTGAATGCTTCAAATATAAACTTGTCCCCATAGCAACCACTGAGGAAAACAGACAGTAGCAAGATACATCACATTTAAAAACTTCCTGAGGCTGTAGGACAGCATCTCTAAGAACTGAGTAAAATTCTCCCACCTCTGCCCTTCACCTGGACCTTGGGAGCTCAGTTCAGTGCTCCCATGTGGGTCTCTGTCTCCATCTGTCACCTGATGAAGGTTCTATGGTGATATTCAAGATAGTCATCAGTCTGACTATGGGATCAGTAAGGACTGTGAGGGTTTGGTTCACCCACTGAGACAGTGTTCCTGAGCTAATGGGAGCTCACTAACTCCAGCTAGACTGGAAATAAACAAGCATGGGGTCAAACTGGACCCTCTGAATGTGGTTGACAATTGGAGCAGGCTGAGAGGCAAATGATAATGGCATTGGGATTTGTCTCTACTGCATGTACTAGCTTTTTTGGGATCCTATTTTTTTTTTTTTTTGGATACATACCTTCCTAAGCCTGGATGTAGTGGGGAGGTCTTTGGACTTCCCATAGGGCAGGGTGCCTTACCCTATATTAGGGCTGGAGGGGGTGGGGAGAGGATAAATCCGGGAGCAGGAGGGAAGTGGGAAGAGGGGAGTTGTGGGAATTTTGACTAGTATTATTTTTAAAGTAACAAAAAAAAAGAGAGAGAGAAAAAGAACTGAGTAAAACTACCATCAGTAAATTCTCAAGTGTTCCTAAAACAGTGAAGGATTTCTACTTAGAAGCAGGTGTGATCCTATGTAAGACTCACCTCAGGAAGAAGCCATGTCCAGCAGAGACAGAGGGACAGACAGAGCTTAATATCTAGAAACACAGCTTTGTGTGGAACATTTTAATTTCACATTGATTCTAAAGAGACATGACAGTGTGGAAACACAGCATTCCCTGTGCATATAGTGAAAAGGGAACTAAATATAGCATGGTGAATCCCTAGCAGAGCTATGTTAATGCTTCAGTTTCTATAACTGTCATCAGTGTGTATGGTGTTTTATATCTGCACTGAGTACTGCCTTCTGTCCAGGTCCAGCTACAGAGCATGTTATGGCAGGAAGATATGCAAATAAGGCTTCTTTGTGCCCATAAAATCCAGCCCTGCCCTGACCCTGCAGCTCTGGCATATGAGACAATCCCTGGATTCCCAAATCTTCCTAGTCGGGGTTCAGCATTGAGGACAGGACACTCATCATGGGCTTAAGGCTCATATTTGTTTTGTTTGTTCTTATTTTAAAAGGTAATTCATAAAGATGGGATACTGTGTATTGTTTGGACATGAGAAAGAGAAAAAATGTGTTCTGTTTCAGTTTTCTAACCAGAATTCTTTGTGTTTACAGGTGTCCAGTGTGAGATGCAATTGCTGGAGTCTGGGGGAGGCTTAGTGCAGCCTGGAAAGACCCTGAAAATCTCCTGTGCAGCCTCTGGATTCACCTTCAGTAGCTTCTGGATGAGCTGGGTCCGCCAGGATCCAGGGAAGAAGCTGGAGTGGGTCGCAAACATTAATGAAGTTGGTGGTACCACCCTCTATACTGACGCTGTGAAGGGCAGGTTCACAATCTCCAGAGACAATGCCAAGAACACTCTGTACCTGGAAATGAGCAGTCTGAAGTCTGAGGACACAGCCATGTATTACTGTGCTAAGACACAGTGAGTGAAAGTTACTGTGCACTCAGACAAAAACACCGCTGTGGGGAACACGGGACCAGCAGAGGGCGCCGAGAACACTTAGCTCTCTGAGTCACAGAAGAGCCTGCTCAGAGAAGCATGAAAGACAGGACTTCTCTGTGTCTGTATAGCCTCTCCACATCACACTTAGGTATTTTCTCTACAGGTATAGTGTGTAGTAATCCTTGAATGCCCAAATGATTATTCAAATTTCTATTTACAGTTGTGTTGTGTGTGTTTATTTATTATAGTGTTTCTCCTGTCTCCCTATCTCTGTCTATGTTTCAATCTTTCTCCCTTTTCCCCTTTCTCTCTATTTCTCTCTATCTCAATCTTTCTCACTCCTCTCCATGTGTGTGTCTGTGGGGAGGGGGGATGCTGACATATGATGAATTTTTCTAACAATTTGCACCACTTATTGTGAGACAAATTCTATCACTGGGCCTGGATTTCAAATACTAGATAGTCTAGTTGTCCAGATAGTCCCAGTGATAGTTCATTCTTCATATTCCCTATATGGTACACCTTGTTGGCTGCCACACCCATTTCTTTTTTCAGTTACGGATTCTGAATTCTCTGTTTAAAACCCACTGAAGCATTCTTATGTGGGAAAAAAACTTGATTTCCCAGCCCCATTTTAGTTACTTTTAAAATTTAGGATGTGCTTTTACCTAAACAAAATGCAGATCATCACAGAGAGAAAAATGATCCTGTTTAGTGACCAGCATCAGTTCCTGAAGAAGCCAAAGAAGATTTTAAACCCTAGAAGATGAAGGCAGCTCAGAGACACATGTGAGTCTAGTGAACCCTGCTGTTATTTGTTTATCTCCGTGAGCACTACACTATCCACACAGAAGCATATATCCCTAATTAAAATAGTGTGCTTTAAAAAAAAATTCTCATTCAATGCTGTGATTTAGCCCAATGGTCTAGTTCTTGTCTAGTTTATATGAGACCTTGATTCAAATGGTAATATTTCAAAACACATTTTTCATTTTGATTAATAAATACTGAGTTTTAAATATCAGTAATCCCTGTTAAAGGTTATAACAAGGTTTCTGTCATCCAAGAGAACTGTGCAGTTTTCTTTCCAAGAAAAACTCTTTTCTCTCACTTCTCTAAGTTATGAGTCAGGAGGTTAACAGATAGCTCAGGAACCCAGAGTTGAGAGGTGATGTTCTCATGAACACACAGTATTCTTCCCTGAATCCTGTGATTGGGATGCTTCACCTTGACCAGTGAAAGTGAGCAGAAGAGGTTGAATAGAGCTAATATTTTTAATAACCACAGAGATTCTTAAACCAAAAATAATTAGTTGCCTGTAGCCAATGATATGACTGCAATTTATCTAAGGAAAGACTGAGGCCGAGTGTTATGTAAATAGAGGCAAAGGGATGCTTGTGCTGCCGAAATGGGAATGTAGTTCTACTAAGACATTATAAAAACTGTGGGGTCCCTCAGAGAATTATACAAGATGATGTGACTCTGCAACCTCACATGTGGATGAGCAGAAAAAGAAGCACAGTTGGTGCAGGAAATCAGGAAAGGAGGGAGGAGAGAAAAGAAGATACACGAGAGTAGGAGAGGACAGAGGGTTAAAGAAGTAAAAAAGAAGACAGGGGATAGTGGGATAGATGAATCAGTGTGATCACAGTACATTATGAATGAGCATGGTGATTTGACTTTAAGTAGAATAAATAGCATAGATGGAAAAAGAATATTTTCAGGTATTATATGATCTTTGTATGTGTCTTTGTGAAGAATTGTCTCTGTTGTTATATGTCTGTGTGTATATGTCTGAGTGTCTGTGTGTTTGCTTCAGAGATGTATACTTTCTAATCACCTATAAATAATTTACATTACAGGGGTGACCACAACATCATCTGACCACAGAAACCTGCTTTCAGATGAGGTGAGCAGAGAGGCTGGGATTCAAGGTTTGACTTCAGGCTCTGGGACTCTCTTACTCTGAGCAAGCCCCTGAAGACATTCCTGCTCCCATTCTTTAAGATTCCAGTGATTCCCCAAGCACAAGAGGCAGAGAACACAGCTCTACAGAACATGTATTTCTCTTTTAGAGAAACAGTGACAGACACTGTTACTCTCATTTTCACCTTTTCATTCAGGTGTGGGAGTTGAACATGAATAGTGAGATTCCAGCACATGCTTTGGTTCAACTACACAGTAGTCTTGAAAAGATTATGGAGTCCAGACTCAGAATAGGAATCATTAGCTGAAGGTGAAGTTTCTCTCTTCCTCTCCTTGTACTCTTCCCTCTGTTTTCTTTGTTAGGTTTGATTTATCCTCTCAGCCCCAACATTCTCGAAATCTATGCTCGGTAAATTGATCCGTTTTGGGGGGATTTGTTTTGTTTTTGTGTATTTCAGATAGGATTTCTCTGTAGCTTTGGAGTCTGTTCTGGAACTAGCTCTTGTACACCATGCTGGCCTCAAACTCACTGAGATCTGCCTGCCTCTGCCTCCCAAGTGCTAGGATTAAAGATGTGCACCACCACTGCCCTGCAATAAATTGATCCGTTACAGAATCAGTAATAAGTGCTGGGTGTCAATGAAGAAGTAATTTTGTATGCTGGTGTACATGTTAGTAGTGCATAAATGCAGTTATCAAAAATATTTTCTGTAGAAAAATGTGATATTTTAAAAGGCTGAGCTAGGCTTGTAGCTCTGTGGTGGAGTGCTTTATGATCATATGAAATGTCTTAAATTTACTAACCAAACTCACTTAAAAATAGGAATTAAGCACTTAGACAAATATCATTTCTCACTTTCATAGTCTTAAATGAGTCACTCTATGACTGGAAAAGGAATGGAAGTGCTCACAGTAAGAAATGCAGGTAGAAATCTGTGGAGAGGAAACAAGTCTACAAGAGTTCATTACTTGGCTTCCATGGCAAGCATTTCATCCAGGGTCTACAGCATCCGTGGCACAGTTTTGAATAACTACAACCATGAATCCAATGCCGAGTTAGGACAATGTTTGGATGACTAGAAATGCTAATTGGCTAGATTGTGTGTGCATACTACATGGTTTGCACATATGTCAGGAGGCTAGAGAGGAGTTTGAGTGTGTTTACCAGATGATTTATCTTATTTTTGAGTAAGGATATCACAGTGAACCCAGAGCACAAATACTCAGACAGAATCTTTGGCTGGCAAGACTTAGAGAATCTCCAGTCATAATGCCTGCAGTGCTGGGAATATAAGATAAACCATCACACCCAGATTCTAAGCTAAGTGTTGTGAATCAAGCAAAGATTTTAACACTGGGAGGCAGGTGCCATATCCACTGAGCCAACTTTTGAGCCCTGAATATTATCACTGTACATTGAGAGAATTGTAAACTGTAAAAGCAAATATGTATATTGTATAATAATTTTTAAAAGAGAAAATGTATTGCTTATTATGAATTTTTAAACCATTAACTGTCTATATGGAAATGAATACTTCATGTACAAACCCTTATATGTCCTCATAAGTGACTCTTAAAACTCTGACTTTTTATGAAAATCTGGAATCAGGGAGATGGGCAGGATCTGCAAAAGAAGATAGAAAGTAAATAATTATCAGAATATATTGTGTTGAACAATTTTCAAGAAAATAAATTCATTAATTATTGAAAACACTGCATTTGATGGTTGGGCATGGTGAATATAGTCTTAATCCATTCAGTTGGGAAATAGAAGCAAAAGTCAGTCACCTGAAAAAGAAAGGGAAGCTTCCTGGCTTCCTTTATCCTTTCAGGAACCTCCCTCAATGCAAAGTAGACCCCAGGCTCAGAATGAAAGCCATGGCCTAGCTCAGAAGCCCATCTCCTCCTCACTGGAGCTCCAGTAAAGCATGGCTGTCTTGGTGCTGTTCCTCTGCCTCTTGACCTGTCCAAACTGTAAGTGTTTCAGAGTTTTAGGAGAGAGAATCAGGTACATCATGTATGGAATATTTGACTGATGGTGATGTTGCTTTTCCCCAGGTGAACTATCCCAGTTCCAGGTGAAGGAGTCAGTACCTGAACTGGTGCAGGCATCACAGCAGACCAAGACCCTGTCTTTCACCGTCACTGTCTCTGTGTTCTCATTAACCAGCTGTCATGAACACTGGTCCACCAGTCTCTAGGAAAGAGTCTGGAGTCTCTAGGAAAGAGTCTGGAGGAATCATACGGAATAATGAAAACACTGGTTATATTTCAGCTTTCAAATCCTAGATCACCATCAGCAGAACATCTCCAAAAGCCAAGTTTTCTTAAAACTGAACAGTCTGGGGGGCTGGAGAGATGGCTCAGTGGTTAAGAGCATTGTCTGCTCTTCCAAAGGTCCTGAGTTCGATTTCCAGCAACCACATGGTGGCTCACAACCATCTGTAATGGGGTCTGGTGCCCTCTTCTGGCCTGCAGGCATACACACAGATGGAATATTGTATACATAATAAATAAATATTTAAAAAAAAACTGAACAGTCTGCATACTGAGAACATATCCATATACTACTCTACCAGAGACACTGTGATAGAACTCCAGTGTGAACCTGAATAAAACCTTCTTAAAGAGAGCTCAGGGCCAGCAGGCAGTACTAAGGGCCATCAGAGACTCACCATTGCAATATTCTAGATCTTACTTTTCACTAATTTTTAATGCATCTGAATATTTTTGAAGTCCTTTTTTCCACTGCAATGTTTATTTTTATTTATTTATTTATTTTTTTATTGAGAATAAGAAAAAAAAGTTTCCGCCTCCTCCCAGCCTCCC